TTTCCCTGGGCAATGGGGAAGGGTCTGCACCCTGTGAGTTCCATGACCCTGGAGCTTGGCAGCCCCTGCCCCCACCACGAGCCCCCCCAGCTGTGACAGGGTTTGCCCCGTGTGCACCAGGTGCTGCTCGGGATGGCGCAGGGGAAGCGCATCGTGGGCTACATAAGCTGCACGCACCTGTTTGCTCCAGCTGGTGAGTGCATGGGCGTGTGTGCATCTGAGAATACACATTCACGGCACTGAAACACACGTGTGTGTGTTTGTGTGAATAAGCATGTGTGCACAAGTGTGTACATGTGCTTACATGGGGATGTCTGTACTGTGTGCTTGTGCATATGGGTGCATACATGCATGGATATGTGTGTGTGTGTGTGTGTGTGTGTGCGCGCACAGATGGACATGTATGCACACAAGGGGAGGAGTGTGTTTGTGCATACAGTGTGTGTTTGTGCACGTGGCATGCTTATGCCTATGGATGCATGTGTGTGTGTGTGTGTACATGCACATGTGCACATGGGAATGCATGTGCATGGTGTGAATGTGCACAGACACGTGTGTCTGTGCATGTGTGAGCGTAGGTATGTGTGTATGCATGTGGACATGTATGCACACAGGAGGATGCATGTGGGGATGTGTGCACATGATGCATGTGCATGCACATGGTGTGCATGTGTATATGGACACGTGTCTGCATGTGTGTGCACACATGGGTGTGCACACAAGGGTGTGTGCGCCAGGGGATCTGGGGCCGGGGGTTGTGGTGAACAGTCCTCATGTCCCCTGCTCTGCTCACGGACCGGCTGCAGCCCCTGCCGCGCCCCCCCAGGACAGGGCTGAGTTGAGCTTGTCCCCGGTTTCTTGGCGTGGGGGGCCGGAGGCCACATCCCACCCCCCCGTCTCAGGGACACCTAGCCATCACCCCACACCCAGGGGCAAAGCCCCCAGGAGGGTGGGGGAGCTCCCCCGGCCGTGGGCAGTGATGCACGGGTGCCCGCAGACGGCGCGCAGATCCGGAGCGAGCAGCTGACGCTGGGGCTGCGCTGGATCCAGCAGTTCCAGGAAATGCAGGCGCAGCCCGGCGACCTCGTCGCCTTCGACGTCCTCTGCGGGGACCTCAACTTCGACAACTGCTCCACAGGTACGGGGACGGGGGGAGGGCACC